ATTGACTGATGTGTCAAACAAACCAAAAGTCGATGAAATACGCGAAAAGTTCTTATCGGAAGCCGAGACTAATCCACAACTATATCATGAAGTGGACGTTGAGAGGGTTCGCCGGGAGGACTGGCAGGTCGAGAGGTTTGTGTTGGACTACGAATCGGTAGACAAGGCATATGAAGCTCTGGTGAAAGCCATGCAATTCAAGAAGTCTTACGGCGTTCACGACAGGAGTCACTCATACTTTCCCAAAGAGTTTCTCCATATTTTCGGATACGAGTCGTTCAGTCGGGACAGAGAGGGTCGGGTCGTGCGATGGGCTGTCGCCAGAAACTACAAGAAAAACGCAGATTTCTTCCAATTAGTGCTACAGTTCTTGACGTATCAGATCGAGTCGGTGGACAGGGAGGCCGGCAATAAGGGCTGGGTATCAGTTAGCCTTATGAAAGGTGCCGGTCTGTCCAATGTCGATATGACTGCCAGCAAATTCATGATCAATCTGATGGCGCACTACCCCCATGGGATCCGACAGAGTCTTAATGTAGACTTACCCTGGATTTTGAGTGGATTTTTTAAAGTTATCTTAAATTTATTACCAAAACGTTTACGAAATGGCGTTCATATAATTAATGGCGAAGAACTGGCTGATTATGTGGACGTCGAGGAGATTCCCGTGACTTTTGGTGGCAAACGAGAGATCGTTTACACACATATCGATCAGATGTCAGCCCTTCTTGAGTGCAAACATTTGGGTTTCAGTCATAAACAAATTGACGACTTTTATGATACTTATAAGTTATAAGCATTTGTTTTCTAAAGAATAATATTAAACTATACAATTGTTTTAGTTTTGTTTTTATTAATGTTTTCAAGAGAAATTAATGTTAAATTATATATTAAATATAAATTAACAAATTTTGTTAATAAGTATGAAGTTCTTTTAACTTGGTGCTATACATAAATTGTAATGGATTAAAACAGCAAAATAACTTAATTCATGAGATCTGGTAAACTTTGGACTTAAAAAGGGTTGCTTTAAAATATTGTATAAAGATTTTGAATAAATAAATTAGTATTTTAAATAATAATATAAATTAACCCATAAATGAACTTATATATTATAAGTTATATGATATATAATATTAATAAATTTGTAATATTTATTTATAAAAATATGCATATGAATCGTATGATATGATAAAAACTTGTTACATTTTGTTTATCAATTTCATCGAATTGTAATTATAATAAAATATGTTACAATAAAATACACAGAAAACAATTGGCATTTGGTTCACACGAATCAGTTGAATAATTTTAATTATAATTGTAATTATTTTATTATTAATAATAATGATAATTTAGATATAATTATAACATTATTATTATAGGGTTGTTACTAAAGATCACTACAATTTGGGAGACTTGGCATTTGAACACCCTGTACCATATTTTCATGATTCTATTTGAAAGTTACAAAAAACGTTATATTTAAATTTGATATATAATTGATAAAGATAATTGATTATTATTTGATAAAGACATGAGTGAAGACATCTACGGATTGACTGATGCCTCAAACATTACTAAAGTCATCGAAATTCGCCAAAAGTTTTTATCGGAAACGCAGACTAATCCACAACTATATCATGAAATAGATGTCGAGAGAGTACACCGGGAGGACTGGCAGGTCGAGAGGTTTGTGTTGGACAACGAATCGGTAGACAAGGCATACGAAGCGCTGGTGAAAGCCATGCGATGGAAGAAGTCTTACGGCGTTCACGATAGGAGTCACTCATACTTTCCCAAAGAGTTTCTCCATATTTTCGGATACGAGGCGTTCAGTCGCGACAGAGAGGGTCGGGTTGTCGTGTGGGCTGTCGGCCAGCACTACAAGAAAAAGAAAATGACAGTTTTTTATGAATTGGTGCTACAATTTATGGTGTATTTGGTAGAGAAGCAGGACAGGGAGGCCGGCAATAAAGGTTGGGTTTTTGTAAATCTAATGAAAGGGGCCGGTTTATCCAATTATGATAATCGTAGTATTAAATACAACATTGATCTGATGGCGAACTACCCTCAGGGGCCCCGACTGTATCTCACTGTAGACCTACCGCCAGTTTTTAGCGAAATATCTAAATTTATCATAAGATTAATGCCAAAGAGTTTACGAAATAGCGTTCATATAATTAAAGGCGAAAAACTGACTCAATATATGGACGTCGAGGAGATTCCCGTGACTTTTGGTGGCAAACGAGAGACCGTTTACACACATATCGATCAGATGTCAGCCCTTCATGAGTGCAAACATTTCGGTTTCAGTCATCAACAGATCGACGACTTCTATAAGACTTATGAACATTTGTTTTGTAGAGAATAACTTTTAAATAAATTAACATGCTACAAATTTCATGAATAAATGAACGAAATTAAATGAATTTATTTCAACCTTTACCCTGATCATTATTTACAGTATCGCATGAATTTGTTTGAAATTGAAATTCTTGTAAAGTTTTGAAAACGTAACGAATGGATAAAAAGTTTCGTCACTTTTTTGGTGTCAAATGTTTTCTCATTTCCACTTTTGTCGTGAGTTTTGACTCAAAACTGATTTTTAGTTTTAAATTTAATCCTTAATTCAGACCTCCTTTGTATTTCATGTATTTTATGTTTTATTAATTAATTAACTTATGTTTGTCTTATTATATATAAATTTAGTGGTATTGATTTAAAACTTTATAATAATTATTTGATTACGGAAAATTTTAAATTAACAATATTTAACTATTTAATTTTACAGTTATAATATACTAACTTCAATTGACTTACCAGTAAATACCGCAAATACCGTAATTATAAATTGTTATCATTAATAAGTTATATGAAATAAAATTTTAGCCTTATTTAAAATATTTTATTTAATACGCAACTTAATAATATAAGCCAGGTCACATTAATAGTGTTCAGACATAATAAGTACCACAACCCCAGACCAGCCCACAAAGGGATGGGAATGTTGACCAGTGNTACTGTTCCCAAACAAAGCCCGTCCTCTCATATTCTGTGAACATATTCTCAATTATATTATTTCGTAACTCTTTGTAAATTAGCGCCGCTTTTGACTGATTAGGACCCGGGATATCGGCATAATGTCTAAGACTCCGGAGCATTAGATAATTAATGTTGATCCATATGGGACCCCTCCAGTATGGCATTTCCCATTCGCTGTTAAACTTATTGTAATAGAAACTCGTTTTAGATATGGATCTCAAGCCATAGTTTGTCCACATTTGCGATGAGTTATGAATTGAGTCCAAAATATAACCCAATTTTGTATTATTTGCATCGATTATGCCAAACATGAAGGGAAAGAGGTTGACATAACCCAACTGATCACACGTCAGCTGATACTTGGGTGGAGTCCACACCTTCCGTATATAATGCCCGGACTCTTTAACTAATGACACGTTTGTGGAGTGATATCCATAATCACAATACGCTTTGTCTGATTCAGACCAATGGAGTTTCTCTAATAGGCTATTGTCGGCCAACAAGTGAGCCGTTCCTTCGTATTGGGCTTTCATTTGAGAGTCGGCCACTGTATCAGCTATACGTGACATGATATCGGCGGCCAACCATATCCAACATCGAAGGTCTAAATGATATTCCTGATCAGTAGGATGTGTAGCTCGCGGGAAGTCATCGAGTCCTGAGGTCAGAGTATCAGGGTTCAATGAGATTTTTCCCATTTCAGGGTTTCTGCCCCTCCATCGGTATGTGCCAATCAGTTCACCACTTTGTGTAGTGTTATACCATTGAAACCATGCCTTAAGCCTTGGATATATGTTCTTAAGGAACTGGACATCAATTTGTTTGTTTTTAATGAGAGTATCAATGGTTAATAGAAAGGACGGCGGATTGGCGTTGACATCGGTCTGGGTGTTAACGGATCCAAATTTGGCGATCGACTCGTTTCCGATGACAATCTCCCGGGGAATCCAACCGTCAATATTCATGATATTAAACCACGAGTTCATTATCTTCAGTGTCAGCGAACTGTTCCACCGCTGAATCAACAGATTATGAAAGCCTTCGTCCCATAGGAAAGGCCGCGGAAACACTGGTCGCGAGGGAACGGCTGATAACATCTCTAGCGGTCCGTAGGTTTTCGGTGATCCCATACCGGGTGAGTCGACCGATAGGTTTCCGTTGAAATATCCAATGCTTCCCAACATTTCGCTCAATACTGACTGCGCGAACGTAATCTGTTTCTCGTTAAATCCCTTTCCCTTTAAACCAAACTTTGTATCAAATTCTTGTCCGAAAAGTCGTATTCTCTCTTTCATGTCATTATCATAATCGCCGACATTTGATAGCTTTTCCTTTAATTGATTTTTCACATTAAATTCAATCATCAGTTTTGTTTGCTCTCTGAACACCACTTGATATGCTATAAGTTGTGAACGACTGGGTACTTTTTGTGTTTTTAATCCATATATTTGTGTCCCGTTTACTATAATTGGTGTCAAATTAGATTTAATTTCTTTGATTACATCCACAATCGATGAGTCACTGTCTAACTGTCCACTATATAAGACTGGATCTCCTTGTGAAGTAATATTGAGTGAGAAATTTCCTATAAATTCATTGAATCCAGTGATTTGTATAGAACTTGAATTATAGCCATTGATGTGAATCACATCCTTATCCCTTTGAATGGACAGGTAGATGATCAGCGAAATACTGTCGTTATTTGAATTTATGGGTTTAGCATTTGTTTGGTTTACAGATACCAGTGCTTTCCAATTATCAGCTGCATATTTAATAAAGCTAGTATTAAAATTATAGTCATTATCTTTAATAGTCTGAAATCCAAAGTCATCGAAGTTATGATATTTCCAGCCATAGGTCAGTCCATCATCCTGTTCACACCAGTGTCTCACGTGAAGCGCAGACACATTATTGGCGCTATTGTTAAACCAAACCAAACCAATAAGTGGTGAATCTGGTGATGAAGTCTGGAGACCGAAGTATGGAATGGCACGAAATGAACCCCAAGTATTGAATGGCAGTATGGGTTCGGTATGGAAGTGGTGGTCAAACGGTATGTTCACATCCGTTGAATTGCCTGTTATTAGTGAAATACTAACACTTATAAAGACAAGGGTACCAAGAATTATAATAAAATAATTCATTTCTAATCAAATAAATGATACAGTAGTTTGTTACAATAATTAAATAAATGTTATGAAAAATTAGCTCACTTAAATACTTAAATAAGCAATATATTGTATGTGAGATAATAAATATGTTCAACTAAATAATCATTAGTATTGTGAATTAAACCTAAATAAAACACTATTTTTAAAAGGTAATTAAAGGAACATTAGTAACTATTTTGGATTATTATAATTGTTACGTTCTTGCCGTTCACAAATGCGATTAACGTTAATTTTCCGAGTGAATTATACTCGTATGGCATGGTATAATAGGACTGCCCAGGTCCGGTAATCTAGCGGAATGTCCTAGGTGTCCAAATCGGTGATTATATCAGTCGACGCGCTATAAAAAACTCTATACTTTTTGCTGTGAAATACACTAATTCATTGTATTGAAACTCTGACTCGTATAGAATGAGTAGTTTATTAGAATTTTATAGCAAAAAATTATAGCACCTCGACCGATATAATCACCCTAAACCTGTGGATCCTTTAAGGCGATCTAATGGTCTGGACCCGTCAGGATAATATGGTATGGTATGCTCATATTAAGTGAGCTAAAATTAACGTTAATCGCATTTGTGAACGGCAAGAACGTAACAAAGACTCATTGGTTCATCTTAATCTTGGTTCATCAGAGACATTTTAATCCTGCAAAAAACCTGTTAAAAATAGGTTTTGAAATAATCCTTTTACGGTATATCATAGTTTCATTTAGTTTATTTAATGTTTAGTACAATTGGTATCAATATGACGAGGTTCTTATTAATAATATTCAGACATAATGAGTACCACAACCCCTGACCAACCCGAGAAGGGGTGGGAGTCCTGACCCTTACCAGTCATATCGTTATACTGTTCCCAAACAAAGCCCGTCCTCTCATATTCTGTGAACATATTCTCAATTATATTATTTCGTAACTCTCTATAAATAAGCGCCGCTTTTGACTGATTAGGACCCGGGATATCGGCATAATGTCTAAGACCCCGGAGCATTAGATAATTAATGTTGATCCATATGTTACCCCTCCAGTATGGCTCTTCATGTTCACTGTTATACTTATTATAATAGAAACTGGTTTTAGACAATGATCTCAAACCATAGTTTGTCCACATTTGCGATGAGTTATGAATTGAGTCCAAAATATAACCCAATTTTGTATTATTAGCGTCTATTATACCAAACATGAAGGGAAAGAGGTTGACATAACCCAACTGATCACAAGTCAATTGATACGTGGGTGGAGTCCACACCTTTCGGACGTAATGTCCGGACCCGTCCTCAACTAATGACACGTTTGTGGAGTGATATCCGTAATCACAATACGCTTTGTCTGATTCAGACCAATGAAGTCTCTCTAATAGGCTATTGTCGGCCAACAAGTCCGCAGTCTCTATGTATTGACCACTCATGTGAGAGTCTCCAACAACATTGGCTATACGTGACATGATATCCGCGGCCAACCATATCCAACAGCGAAGGTCTAAATGGTATTCTTTATCAGTGGGATGTGTGGCCCGGGGGTAGTCATCGAGTCCAGAGGTTAGAGTATCTGGGTTTAATTCTCGGTTATCTTTATTAGCACCCCTACCCCTCCATCTAAAAGTACTGCTCAGTTCACCACTTTGTGTAGTGTTATACCAGTGAAACCATGCTTTAAGTCTCGGGTATATATCCTTTAGGGACTGGACATCCATTTGTTTGTTTCTCATAAGTGTATCGATGGTTAATAGAAAGGACGGCGGGTTAGCGTCGGTATCTGGTTGTGTATGGATTGTGCCGTGTTTTGCAACGGACTCACTCCCGATTACAATCTCCCGGGGAATCCAACCGTCAATATTCATGATATTAAACCACGAGTTCATTATCTTCAGTGTCAGAGAACTGTTCCACCGCTGAATCAATAGATTATGAAAGCCGTCGTCCCATAGGAAAGGCCGCGGAAACACTGGTCGCGAGGGAACGGCTGATAACATTTCTAATGGCCCGTACCATTTGGGTGATGCCATACCCGGAGAGGTAACCGATTGGTTTCCGTTGAAATATCCAATATTTCCCAACATTTCACTCAATACTGACTGCGCGAACGTAATCTGTTTTTCATTAAATCCTTTTCCTTTTAAATCAAATTTTGTGTCAAATTCTTGTCCGAAAAGGTTTATTCTCTCTTTCATGTCATTATCATAATCACTGACTTTTTCCAACTTCTCATTCAAATGTTTTACGACCTTAAAGTCAATTATTACTTTTGTTTGCTTTCTGAATACCACTTGAAATGCTATGAGACTTGAACTAATAGGTATTTTCTCTGTTTTTAAGCCATATATTTGTGTCCCGTTTATTGTAATAGGTTTCAAATTAGACATAATGGATTCAGTTATATCTACAACCGATGAATCGGAGGCTAACTGTCCACTATATAACAATGGCTCTCCTTCTGAAATAATATTGAGTGAGAAATTTCCAATAAATTCATTGAATCCACTCATTTGTATAGAACTTGAATTATAGCCATTGA